TTATTGGGGTCACAAGTTGCACAAAACTTGAAGACAAATCGAAATCGAGTGGCATTTTGTCATCACAATAGAAGGGGCCCAAAGGGTCCAGTCGTTATATACCCTTAGTATAATTTCAGAACTGAGCAAAGAGTTTCCAACAATCTGATTGGTCGAGCGGTAACTTATATGGCGCTGTATAAACCGCTCCACGCAGTTTATATAAAATGTTAAAATAGAATGTTGATAAATGTTACTAAAATGTTATGATTTTAGAATTTCTCTGTTGTTCAGCTCTGAAATTATACTAAAGCAATTATTCGCTTCAGGTTTAGTGAATATTGTCTAATAATCCCCTCGACTTCGTCTGGCGCGATCGGGGATTATTCTACGATACTCACCTCGCCTTCGGCGAATAATTGTTAAATATACCGACTGAGGGTGAGGGAAGAAGGGGAGGTAATTTTTTCATAAGTTTCCCTGGGGAAACAGATGGGGATCAGTCGTCGCTGGAGATTAGAAAGAGGAGACAATAGAAAATTGACTGCTAATTAACTGCCAAGGTGAGGGGGGAAGGGCACAAAATATTACAGTAGTAAAGGTAAATCAGGTAAATCAGGTAAATGTAGTAAGTGCGATAAGTAATGACCGCTTCCTAAGTGCGAATCCATTTTTTAAAAAGGTCCCGTCCTGAGTACCTTGTCATTCCCATTTTCCGTGTAGGATTTCCATAAACTGCCACTTTCAGTTATGTATTTTAAGCGATATGACGTCACACAGAACACTATGCCCTCTGTATGATGCTTCATGAGATATCTGCACTGCGTGGACACCTGCTTGAACAGAAGTAACTTGTGCATCAAGTACTAATAATTATCATGCTAATGATCGAATGATGTTTCTGTAAAAGCTGTTTGGATGCCAAGTAACTTAGCATCCCAAGTGGTGTGTTCATTTACAATGAATGGTTTGCTTTCATTCGCTCTGTATTGTTTTTTATTTGTCTTTTCTTTGGTTTTATCAATTTTCGTCTATGTTTTGTCTGTTTTTGTTTATTTGTTTTTTTTTTTTTTTTTGGTTTTCTTGTTTTAGATAGTCGTATTTTATTTTCTTTTATTTTAATTTAACTGCTTTTGTTTGTTTTTGATTGATTCTCAAATCTTGCACCTAATCTAAGCTTTGAAGGCGCGCTCTATTAAGTTTACTTCCGTGCCGAAGCATGAGGATAGGGTGTAGAATGGAAGATATCCAATAACGTCTACCACACACGGGATTCGTTGTCTTTAGCCTTTTAATTTTCAGCAATGTTCACTTGGCAGCGATCTTCAAGCTTTCTGCTTCACATACCATCATATCTCATATGTTATCCCTACTTATTACACGACTCGGGAAGTCAGAGGACCAATAACTAAAATCAACCAATCAAAATGCTCTATCGCCGGTCAATATTCTCTCAGTATTGGACCGGGCACTGTCCCGAATGGTCCCGAATGATACCGCACTTGTGTCCCTTTGAACTTCAGTCGTGAAATAAATCTCTTATTAACCAAGCTTCCTCGGGACCGTACTGGAAGAATATCGGCCCTCAGTCCTTTTTGTACGGACCTCGCTGCGCTCGCTCCGTACTGTCAAGACCTCGGGCCGGTATTCTCCCAGTACGGCCCTTGCGCTTGGTTAATAAGATATATATGGCATACTTACTTCCGGAAAAATATTAAATAGAGCTTTCTCTCAAAGTTATCAGACATGCACAAATTTCAATGTGATTGGCTTACCGCAGATATCTCGTGACTAGTAATCAGGTTTACCGAAAGCCATTCAACTCTGGGAGGGTGCTGTGTGCACCAGGCCCCCTGTTTGATTTTCAGGTTCAATCGGGCTTTTGCTGCTTGGCAATCCTTGCTATTTACAGAGGATGAATTCATTTGCTGGTCAGTGATTTCTCCAGTTTCTACACCTAATGGGGGATCTAAGTTAAGAAAAAAATATTTTTTCAGTTGTCTAATTCAAATTCTCTTATCAGACTGATAAATTAGGTACTGTGGTTTTATCAACCGAACTGAGTCGTGAAGACCTTCCAAAGCTAACATTTCGGCCGACAACCCTTCGCCATAGTAAATGGAGGAATTATGGGTTGGGTGTGGTTATAAATAGAAAGATGGAGGTATGCTATCGGTGGCAACATGGTTACATAAAATAAAAAATTAAAAAAATAAACAGAATAATAAGTTAGATGAATGCAAAACGTTCGTTGATACTGTGGGGATATTTTTATTCTCGTGAGTTTTACAGCTTTCCGAACTGTCTAGATATTGGGAAAGGCTGCAGAATGTCACATGTTGCTTAGAATGATTAGGAAGGGTTAAAATTTCAAAAGTGTTGGGCTCTGAAGGAGTTTTCTTTACGGTCGCAAATTTACAATATCATCTCATGCAGTTCAAACGAAATTATCTTGTAATACCTCCATCAAATTCAGAAACTTGCCCCCTTAGAATTATTTTGGATTTTACCCTCATAAAGAATGGGCTGGTTTTCCACTGAACAGCCATAGACTTCGAATCTGAGCCCGAAAAATCCATCAGAAAATCTTGGACTGATTCTGAGCCAACGTGCTTCTAATGGCATCTTCAAAAGGGCTGTGAACAGCATATTTCTCGGGTTTTCCAAATCACCAGTTGTGAAGTAAAACTGAGATGCAAACATAAAGTGCGTAAATCAAAAACTGAAACTGTCATTGGATTAATAAAAACGGCGAGTTTTTAGCTTAGTAAGAAATTTAACAAATTTAAGAAATTTCTTTTATTGTGTATGTCAAAATAGTTCAAAATATACATTCTTCCTTAAGTGTTTTATCTACTCACACAACTCTTTTAATTTTGCTGACCCGGGAAGATGTCAGAAAGAAGGCCAAAATGGGACGATCGTGAGAAATACATGTAATGAGGGAGGGAGGGGTAGAAAATGATAAATGACGTTTGAATTCCTAACAAACACAACACTGATTTTCGTTTATTATGTGAAAATTGTCATTTTCCGTAGCCAACCCAAAGTTTGTTTTACGTTGTTGTACCTCTACGTTCTTTCCATTGTAGTCTTTCCATTGATATCCTTCATTGCTTACACTAAACTGCAAGGATCGAATGGGGGACTTTGCTTCAGGATGACCCTGTGCAGAAACCTGGCAAGACAAAATGTTGACAAGCCACAGGCACACTTTAAGGCTACTCGAAAAGGGCCCAGAAAACTTATTAAAATATTTGTCCCTTCGTTGTTGTTTTTGTTGTTGACAGCTAATATTTGTTCATTCTTTTCCTTTTTGTTTCTATTCTATGTTTGTTTTGATTTAGTTCTTTGCTCTTCTAGATGTTTCCGTGGCTTAGGCATTTAAACTGAGACCGATTTTTATCTTATGAGATAACTTCCTTTGAGAGATCAAACGCCAGCTTAACTAGCTTTGTTGGGTCAGACCATGACTAGATGTTCATTTGGTATAGAAACATTTTTTTTAAGTACCAGATTATTTTTCTATGTTTCATTTCAGTTTTGTCTTACCATTTCAATACGTTTCACTTCTCTGAAGTCCACTTGGACATATTGCTGTCTATCGTATGAAGGTAAACCTCGAGCTGGTACCCAATACTCCTCCGCATGTAAGCCAACACCATATGGTTCGTGGCCTCCTGTCCACGAATTTGTTTGAAACAGAGAGGAAACACTCAACTGGCTTTCTTTCACGTGTCCATTGCTTATTCCCAATGGACCGAAATCTTGACAAACTGAGGAGATGAAACCAGAGATAGTGATTTCAATCTCATGGTTACCATTTAATCAGTTTGTTGCTTTTAATTTCTGCGCCAGTTAAAATAAAATTAATTTTACCACAATTAGCAGTAATGTTGCATTCTGATTGGCCAATTTGCAGTTGTCGACGAGAGTACAAGCAACGCTTAAATTTTTTTGTAGACTCACTTAGCTGCGCCTCGTGATCAAGAGTCCACGACAATTTGACCATTGTAATGATGGTTTCGTCATCGATAAGAATACAGACCACGCTAAACCACTTTGGATTTGTTAAATTTACAATACACACACACACACACACACACACACAGACAACAACAAAAACTGAACACACTGACTACGGCGATAAAGAGAATGAGAAGGATGATAGGTTTCTGAGCTTGGTAATAAGAAATGATCATGTCAGATATAAACCTCGTAATGGTCCAATTCAAGTACGTCTGTAGGTCGGGGGTAGATCATCGGAGTACGGAATCCGATGGTCTAAGGCTCGATTCATCGTGGGCACTCAGGACTTTTTCCTGTGTCTCACGCTCCTGACGAGATGGAGAAACATTTCTCTCTAATTTTAACGATAAAGCTTATTGTCTCGCCAAATCTTATCGTGCAACTCATTCTATAACCAATCAAAGGAGTGAAAAAATAGGCTTTGACTCTGTACAGGTGGATGCTTGTGGGGGCAGTATACTCCGCTAAATGAAATGAAGGCGAGCCTTTACTGCTCGGGGACGATCTTACCTGGGTGATAAACCAATAATTCAACATCTCTGTACGTCTTGAGTGTCTGAGAACACTCTCGACGTCCTCTTTGATAACTGACATCCACGTGAACTGCTGAGGTACTCGCACTTCCACTGGGCACCAGGCTTTGTCTCATCACAAAGAGACTGATGTCGAGGCTAATGTAGTCAGTATTTTTAGGAGAGGCAAACTTGGAATAATATAAAGTTATGTTATTTTCGTTTGTTTGAAATCATCATCAAGTTTAAATGATATAGTAAGTTTACATATGTTAGAGGGATATCTTTAAACATCTAAGGCCAGCATCCCCAGTTCCAATCCCACGGGACAGAGATCGAACAATCCACAAAAACGTCATCCTTTTCTAAGCCTTTCTAGTGTAACTTTAATAACTTTTCCTGATTGCCGTTCTCTCAGCGAAATAACACAACAATTCTCTCTAAACATTTTCTAGTGTTAATATGAGAAGGCGAGCTATCTCATTTACCAAGCTAGAGCCATAAAAAAAATTCAAATAGTTACGTAACTGAACAATACAACAATTTCCCCTCTAGCACTCGCCTACAAGGCATTTTTTATACGAAGAGGAGTCAAAATATATGGGCTCATATAGAGGCTCAGATATTCACTGAGTGCTCACCTCTAGAATCAGCTGACCGTCGTCGTTACGATACGAAGATGGTTCACTATATCCTGCTGAGCTGGTGATACTCTTAAATTGCAGGAAATACGGTAAAAGGAATTTCATGTTCATAGATTGGATGGCTTCTTTCTGAACAGTTGCGTTTTGACAGTCCACGTGAAGAAGAGCTTCATTTCTTTTAATAATGATTAAAGAAATGGAATATGATAAGTAAACATGTGGATATCCTGAATGGATCATGAAATCAGTCCCTAGACTCACTACCATAAGGGACGTGGACGAACGCGCCGGCCGAACAGTTGCGCGTTGTACTCCGCGTCGAGAGAGATCTGGGTTCGAGCTCTGGTCGGCCATTGTAGTTTGTTCTTGAAGGGTCTCTTTGTGATTTATTTTTGTATTTTTGTGATATATCAAAACTTTTATTTATAAA